CAGCATAAATTATCACTTATATTGGTAACAACGTACACGGCTATGTCCAACTATAACGATCAAATTTGCCCTGACCACCAATGCCTCTCACGCCTCCCTCGATTGTGACGTGACATGAATATAAAATAGCTCTGCCGAAGCCCTAACCCTATTTAACACGACATCTGTATCTGAACATATCTCACAAATAAAATCAATTGCCGTAGAATGCTCATGATCCCGTTTCTTCAGCCGTATGAAGTCCGTGCCGAGCATATGTATATATTTGTTCCTGAGGAATGTTGCCTTCTTTTACTGCTTTCCCCAAAGCACATTCTAAAATTGCATTCCGATATAGATTAGGATCAAAGCTACTTTAAACAACGGAATGCCCTCCAGTGCCACACGCTTCGCCTTAATATTTCTCTCGGCCCAAAGCTGGGCCCTCTGCCGCGTCAACCTAACCACCCCATGTTTGCTTGCCGTTCGTAGTTGCGTACTCGGCCACCATGCGTGCCATTCCTTTGAATTACGGACATAAGATCCACATAACTCTGGTAGTCCGCTCCCGTTAGAAACGCCGTTTGGGTGGCCTCCGTGGCACAATATCTCGCTCCATACTTGCTGTCCACCTCACAGTATGGGAATGCTTTTACGTCGGGCTCCCTCTCGAGCTTCTGGCGTACCCGCTGGACCAACCCGGGATCACCCCACATATCGTCAAGGTCAAGCATCTGCAGCTGACTATCTTTCCAAGTGAGCTGAAAGTTTGTAAGCTGAGAAAAAGGCTCCTGTGCCAGAGTGGTAAATAGCTCTCTCCAGGCGATCGGTTGCCCGTATTCCCATGGCCGCTCGCTACTTGCAAAACAGTCCTCGAATGCAATAGACTCCATCGTGGTCTTGTGTCGAACAAGAAAGTCGCGCAGCTCAGAACAGAGGATAATGTTGTTCAATGTAAGTTTCCGCAGCCTTGGCATTGTCGCATTTCTCAGACCGATGTCCTCGCAATACGGTTGCCCTCCGTTTCCAAGCGATGCCGTTTCCCGGGGATCGAAGGAGAATTCTTCCACGGTGGCGAGGTGGTTGAAGAAGAAGGGCCCTAGGTAGTGTGAGAAATCGCCGAAGATGGGTTGGGTCATCATAGTCCAGCCAACGCCGTTATCCCATCTCCTTAGAGAGAGATTGAAAGTCGTAAGTTGTGATAGGAAGGACTGGAATGCTTCGGTTGTGAAAACTGATACCATGAAAATGTTCAGATCGCGGAATTCGATGGATAGGGGTGGTTGACCACTGGATGAGGAGTGGGTGTAATTGGATACGATTGCGTGAAGGCTTGCTGCCATCAGTCCGCGCCAGGCATTTTCACTCTCCTCAGATGGAGCGTTCTCGGGGTAGAATATATCACTTTGAAAGTAGTCGAGCAATAGGTCATCGTCGTAGTCGAAGGGAAATTCGATCACGATTTTGTCAAGATTACTGAACATGCGTAGATTGGACAGAACTCGGTCAACCTCTGGGGGGTACACCTTCTCCAGTGGCGAGCTCTGCTGATCTGTGGAGCGAATGGTTAGATACTCTGGCATTCGTTGTTGTCATTCTGTGCCACATACCCGTCTCACAAATACCAATGTAGCGCAGCGTCTTGACACATGCAGCATGCTTCCCCCGACTGATCGCAGTGATTGACTGAGCGCTTTTTGCCGTATTGTATAATTCGAGGTTGGCCAATATGGTGGGAGCAAGCAAATCCCGAAACCATGTGCATGTACTACTCATGTTTATGAGATCCGGAAGATGAGGTAGTCTCCGGGCTATACTCTTGGGTTTCCAGAAACTATCAGGGTCCTCATCATCGTCCTCTTCCTCGTCCGGTTCAGGCTCTTCACGAAGAATGTCAAGCACAATATACCACACATCAACCCCGAGCGAGAAAAGCGGGGACACATGTTGGTCGACTGAATGAGTTGCTAGTGCCATTGTAAAATGATTTCAATGAAGGTGGGGATTAATCTCTTCTTCACAGCGGCGTTATGGCTCTCTATATGTACGTACCTTTCATTATCCCAGGCGACCTGTTGTGATGGAAAACACAGGCTTATTTGTTGTTGGCGCCTAAGCCAAGACAGTAGCGCTTGCCTGCCTAGAAGAGTTGATAAACGACTATCGCCGAGGCTGTCGTAACTAGCGTACTTCTCATCCCATCATGCCGTAAATTAACAAATGGCTTCGATCCCAACTCCAAAGTTGAAAATCTTGCATTAGCGGCTTTACCTAGCATGCTTTTGGTGTAGGTTTATAAAGATAAACGCAATACTGCTATTGTTTATAGCGAGGTCAAGGCGACTCCATCCGGGATGTGAGCCCAACTAGGAACAGGAGACGAAAGCAGTGTACATACAAAATATAACTGGAGTTAGCGAGGTAAACTCCACACCATTCTGCCGACAAGTTCGTTCTAACCCGGTTCCGTTGAAGCCATCATCAACGATCGCACCCGTTGATCAAGGCCGAGTATACGTAGGGTCAAGGTGCTCTCAGCAGGAAAAATACAACAAGATGCTCTATGGTAATGTTCAATTTGGCTGCGAATATATATTTGAAGAATAGTTGATACGTACGGCCATCGTCGTGGTAGAGCGTCACATCCATGCCCTCAAAAACCGAATATTGTCCTGACACAAAACTAACATGGTGCAAGAAAATGCACGAGTGCATTCACATCCCATGGACCCGGCTACACAACTCAGACATGTCCACGCCTATTTACAGTGTTCATTGTTGCTGAAGAGAGCTACAGGCTAGGCTTAACTAGTAGCGGTGCCGGTTCTCTTTGACCTTTTCGCAAGTAAAGTACAGGTTCTGGAAGGAGGCCCGCACCTGTCATCATGGAGTGGATCTGCGGCCCGCCGGTCCGCACCTCGGCGGAGCTTCCCACATGGACAATCATTGGTAGATCGCTTTCTTTCATTTTCAAAGCAAAATGAAAAATGAAGCTATTCAGAGTAGGGTTCGACCCGTCTCCATGACTTTTGTTGTGTGGATAGTCAGCATGTTTGCTTACCTGCCTGGCTACCTACCTGAGAACTGGATTGAAATTAGCTGCTTGCGCTTGATGCTGTTAGTGCAGCTAGACAATATTCACTGATGCAACCAACATATTCTGTCAATGAGAGTACTGCCGTACTTGTGTTAGACTTCAGCTGCGCCGCAGAAAAAGGGAATAAGCTTTGCCACCAGCAAAGAGCTCCAGCTACAGATGAAAGTTCTGACCTGGTTGTTGGAAGGTGCAAGTTGTTAGATACAGATGTACAATGCTTCTCTTTTCCAGCGTCAGTCACCCACGGTTCTATAGACAAAGCCCAAAAGTTAAGGAATGGTTGTTGACTGGCTCCCCTCTTCCAAAAACGAATTCAACCGTGAACTAAATAGTGTATCCACCTCACTCGCATCAATGAATTGAACCACTGCAAGGGTTACCTGCTTATCTGTTCCACATGTGCCACTAGCACAACAGGCCGGACTCTCGGGCGTACATCCATTCTCATTACAGCTGCATTTACTTTCCGCTTTCTGCGCATAAACCATCCACTGGATGCAGCCATCGTCAGACGACACAATAAAGGCACCGCCGTATTTATCAGCATTTCCTTTATCGCAATTAGAGACGATCTTTTCATAGGCGCTTGTACACTGTTCCGGATAGTTTAGTCATAGTCAGATATGGGGAAGGAGGATACAGACTTTGTCTTTTACCAGCTTGAATCCCTTCTCAGGCTGGCACCCGGATTGGTTGTCTGCCCATTGCAAAGAGGCAATCACATTTATCCCCGCTTGGCCAGAGTAGACATAGTTGTAAGGGGGGCCTTTAGGTTGAGAGTGTTGCCAGATCCGCACAGCGAAGATACTGCGGAACTGACTGAGTCGGTGTTGAATGACGCGAACGAGCCGTCATTATGCTCCCTAAAGCAGTAGACGGGGAACGAACCTGGGTCGCTGACGGTTGGTATAGGTATAGAAGTCGTCCCGGACGGCTGGGAAGAGGTAGTGGTAGTTGGTTTCGTTGTTGTAGTCCCTTTGCCGCTCGCTGTCTAAGCCCGAATATCAAGAGGTAAATTGCCGATATGTTCTATCCTGATCAGCGTGACATCGTGGACGCCTAGCGTGTAAACTAGACCAGGATATATCACAGAGATCTCCCCTCGCACGGCTTTGTTCTGTGCGCTGGCGACTCTCTCCGACGTTGGAGTTCTCTCAACAGGGGTGTGAGCAGGAGGAAACCGGCGAAAAAAACTATAACAGTTTAGAGTAACCAGATTCGGCCAATGATGCGACACTAAAACCCAGGAACACGCCATTTTCAAATAATGGGATGATAATTGTATACAATTGGATGATCAATGCGGAGAATGTTTGAGAAATTGAAGTTGGAACTGGGATGGGGGATCAGATGAGGACAAAAGCTCGCGACAAAATGATTGCACGCTACAGCCATCTGCCGACGTTATCTCGGTTAGTAGATCGTACGGGCGAATAGGATGTAGCATTTACATGGATATGTCGGATTCTCAAGGATCCGGCGCCGATTATGGACATCTGATCATCCAATATCGATCAATGCTACATAACTATACCTGATCAGAAAGATTAGATTGCAATCACGGGATTCGGGCCAACATGCGGCGTAACAGGGACCAATCGGGCAACCCCCATGTGGCTTGCTTCCCCTCATCTCGTTTGTATTGTTTAACCTTGAATTCTCCCCGGAAAGCTTGATCGGGAATAGCTGGGCTAACCCATCAATCTATTAATATATCAGGGTCGAGACTGGCATTTATTCTTTTGCCTTTCAACTCACCGCGGAGATTTCCAAGACATGGCTCCCCTGACTTTGGATAGTCTTCCTATGGAACTGATCGAGACTGTTGTTAATTTTCTGGACTTCCAAGACATCTGTGCTCTTCGTTTAACTGCACATGGTATTTCGGCCAAATCATCCAATGGTCGATTCCGTCAGAATTTGAAATCCAAGAAATTACACATCGCACAGGCCCCCTTGGAAGATTTCGCTCACTTTACTCAACCAGGCCAGGTTGGGTGTGTGCTCCAACATCTTACTTTATCCGACTTTGGGGTGGCAAATGCGTCTGACAAGTGCCTTGAGGCAGCTAAGCTGCTAGTGCAAGGAATGGAGAACCTACGCCAAAATACTTCACATGGTGGCCTAGTATCTCTGTCTCTTTCCCTTCACGAGCTAATAGATTCAGAGCTGGAAGAGGCAGAGCATGCCACGGCAAAGTTGTTTGACCTTGTTATGCTGGCACTCAGCAACAGCAAATTGTCTGTGCAGATCGTGGATATTTTTGCTAAATGTTTCCCCATCCGCTGTGCCCTGGCCTGCGGTGAAATAATGGCAGTTATGGAGAAAGCAGACCTGTCTTCCACATTCAGAGAGTGTAAAGAGCTATGTTTAAGCTTGTCACACTGGTTACGCGATCTCGATGAGCACTACGAGTCTCCGCTATCCTTTGATCAAGCTAGGGATCATACCCGATTTATCTGTGATTTTGTGAATATGTTCCCAGTGCTAGAGGAACTTCACTTGGCGTGGGTATATTACGATCTCGCCTACACGGATGCCATACAGGAAGAAGAGCATTTCTTTAATCGAATCGCAAATTCCTGTCCATTCCCATTGCTCAAGAAGTGTACCTTTCATAACATTCGCACGACCGAGGCAGCCCTGCTTCAATTTCTCAAAAACGTTCAATTGGTCAGTCTATCGATGGAAAACGTGTATCTGGCCAGTGGAAGGTTTGAGTCCATTTTTCATCATCTATCCACTTCCCAGCCAAATTTGGAATATTTGCATCTCCATCAGCTGGTGCACGATCCATCTACTGTTTATTTTGATGTGCCTCGCGTGCCCCAATACCCTCGTATTCGGGGTAGGGGCAACAGAAGAAACCTGGGGCCTATTTCCGTTACACGAATGGGAGCCGATGCAAGGAGACTGGTAGGAATCCTTAATCGGCATCAGCGGCAGTAGCATGTTAAGAACCGAGGGGTTTTCTTTGAACCTCGGTGAAATGGTAATTTAATTTTCAAAAATATTGTCCCAAATCCCCTGCTTGAGGTGCACCGGTAAATAGATTAATAATGACATGTCTGCTGCTACATTCCGCCACTTTCCAAGACGGGCCCATGTTGACCTCCATAGTCAGCAATCCCCGATCCCTGCTCCCGATTATGAGCTAAACTAGCCTATGTAACCTCATTTATAAAGATAGAGTTGGAACGAAGTCCCTATTCCCAAGAACGGTATAAGTTGTGACACGGGAATGCAGGCCTATAGGAGTAGTACGACCCATATTCTTTGATAGTTATTGATAATCTACCACACTGACTTGCATGCTTCTCCTTACAATCATAAAGTGAGAAGGAATCTCAGCAAGCCATGTTGCTGATATCGAAAAGGATGCTTTGCATCTTTTTCCTGCTTTTTGGAAACAAAGCAGCGCTAGGATACCACCAGCGATCCCGTCAGGCACTTTGCAGCCACTACAGTTTGGGTTGGCGTATAATGCAAACCACACCTTGAGCTCTCGAGGATACGTGAAAGCTAAGACAAATCCACTATATCTGACGTTATTAGGGATCCCGACTGTGCCGGAAGCTTCGATGCTACGACTTGTGAGCCCATATGTAGTCCATCTAGCTTTCAATGCTCCGGATGATGATACACGTATATACCTCATGCACCCACGCTTGGGACAGAAGGAGCATACATCGCCGTACAAATCGCCTAGGTACTGGAGAAAGTTCGAACAGTTGAAGAATCTGCTCAATACAGAGCTTCTGCCCAGCGCGGCCACGGCCTCGTGGTTGTACATTACAGCGGAAATGTCGCGCGAAGTTCCCGCATACAGACGGCAGGCCATATTCCAATATGACCCGGTTGCTCATGGGCGTAATAAGAAAGGCTGGAGGCTCTTTTATGAAGGTCATTACTTTGATGATACAAATCCACCCCCAGGTCCTGAATCTGCTGATGGCATCCCTGACCTATGATAGTGAATCTCAGCAGATCTGGATTGGGGAACTCATGGCTTCGGGCTCCGACCCATTCTGAACCTGTCTTAAAATGGAATCGAGCTTTGGGCCTTCAATCAGCTCTGTGATCGATAGTGACAGCCTGTGTGGCATGGTTTCTTTGGGCCATGCAAGCCTTCACTGGACGGTAGTTGATAGTTTGGTTTGTGAAATTATGTATGTGATCCTATTCTTAGTTGGGTTAAGAATAGAAATATGTGCCCCTGGAGATTAGTCCCATTATTCTGATCCTATATCTCACCGAGTTAAGGCATAACATGGTCTAGCCAGGGTATATTTACGTGGTCGGTAGCCCAGCCATCTGCACCAGTTCCTATATTGCCAGTCATGTTGTAGATCTATTTCTTCCCAGTCATCAAGGTGGATGTAGGCTTTGAAGGTAGCAGCGGGTGGAAGGGCCCGACCAGTGCAGTACAGATAGAAGTAACCGGTTCCTAGCTACCTGGCTGTGGCAGGAAATGCTTTCCTTACGTTTCACCTCTAGTGGCTACCCCGCTCAGATCACTTCTGTATAAGCCTAGGATCTTGGCATTTAGTCCGCGGATAATTATATCTGGGTGTCTAGTGTGACGTCAACTTAATTCAATGTTAGGTGAGCTTATATCCCCCCTTCTTGCTGACATGCGTATGCCAAACGGCCTAGCTCATTTCAAAGGGCAGAACTCGATGCTGCGAGAAATTCCTAGGCACTTGCTGCGACATCAATACCGATCATAGAAGCTGGGGCCCAAGGCACACGTGCAACCGGAAGAGATCCAATATCGCTTCCTGCCACCACATGTCTCCCGAGATATCCAATAAATCCCATCCTGACAAGGGCATACGTTGGTGGCTTTGCTGCGCCTTTGTTTGACAAGAGATGATTGATGTGATACACAAGCGCCGACTGCGCCAATTCCGGTGATAAGAAATTAGACCTGCATATAACCATCATCACACAAAGAATGCCGCCCTTTCTTTGTTCTCCATCCGAGCTCACTCTCTTTATATATATGCCCTTGTCCTTGTCACATCTATCTTCTATCCTTATTCAGTCGCCTTTCATCTTATCCTATATTCACCCGTCCTTCTTTTGTTCCTTCGGCCTCTCTTCAATTAATTGCTTCAATTGGCCAACTTCAAACTCCACCGCCATGTCAATTACGGAGACCGACATCATAATTGTCGGAGGAGGCACGGCTGGCCTTACTCTGGCAGCACGCCTATCCGAGAATCCCAACCTCCAGGTTCTCGTCCTGGAAGCGGGTCAAGACCAGACCGAGGATCCTCGAGTTCAGACCCCAGCGCTATGGCCAGGACTGGTGGCCACAGACTCGGACTGGAGGTTTATGACAGCGCCACAGGTAAGATTGCATTTGGCATCCCACTGGCTGCTCATGCTAATCTGCCCTCCACAGGCTGCCTTGAATGGCAAGCAAATACCCCTACCACAAGGCCGTCTCCTGGGTGGATCGAGCGCCATGAACGGAATGGCATTTATCGCCAACTCCAAGATCAATGTCAACGCTTGGGGGGCCTTGGGAAACCCTGGCTGGGACTGGGATACCCTCAGCACATATTACAGGAAGGTCTTCACTCTGACGTTGCCATCGGAGGATAAGCGCAAGGAGCTAGGTCTGGAGTACGTGGATGAGAGCGCCAACGGAAACAATGGGCCCATTCAGGTATCCTTCCCAGATGCTGTTGATGACCCAATTGCCAACGCGTGGGTTGAGTCCTTGCGGGGATTGGGCTACCCCATGTTGACTGATCCCTTTTCCGGACATGCGTGTGGCGGTTATACCAATGCAACAACTATTGACCCTGTCAAGAAGACTCGTAGCTTCTCCGCTAATGCATACTACCTTCCTGCGAAAGAGCGCGAGAACCTACATGTTGTGATGGAAGCATTGGTTGAGAAAGTACTCCTCGAGGCTCTTCCCAATAGTGATGTCACCGCCACTGGAGTCAGGTATATGAAGGATAATGGCATCGTCACGGTTACAGCCCGCCGGGAAGTTATTCTCTGCGCTGGTACCTTCAACTCGCCAAAGATACTTGAGCTCTCGGGAATTGGCTCGCGTACCATCCTAGAAAGCTTTAATATCCCAGTGATAATCGATAACCCCAATGTCGGAGAGAATCTTCAGGATCACCCTTTAGCCGGGCTCAGCTTCGAAGTGCAAGACTTTATCAAGACAAAGGATGATCTCATGCGACGAGTACCCGAGGCGCTTAGTGCAGCAATGGAAAGCTACAAAATGCATCAGTTCGGTCCCTTCACGATCGGCGGCAACTACTCCTCTGCTCTTCTTCCATTGCCTGACTTCTCCAATCCCAGCACCGGCCCCGACGAGCTAGCCACTGTTCTAGCCATGACTGTACCTGACTCGTCCCACCCCCTTGCTGCTGATCTTGCCTCCTATGCGCGGTCGCTGCTTGAGAATCCGCAGGAAGCCACTGGCGGGTATTTCACCTACCCTGCCCAGTCTGATTTCAAGGGATCTGGTGCAGACGTACAAGTGATCCAGTCGAAGCTGCCTGAGAACTATATCACCATTTGTGCCAGTCTGATGCACCCATTGTCGCGCGGCAGCTGCCACATATCATCTTCCAACCCCGCCGACTACCCCATCGTCGACCCTCGCTACCTGGTCCATCCCGCCGATCTGGAGATGCTTGCCCGGCACGCCCGCTTCATTGACGTGATTGCCGCATCGCAGCCCCTCGCATCCATGCTGAAACCGGGCGGCAAGCGGAGCCTGGGTTCGCCTGATGACTTGCGCAATATCCCACTAGACGATGTTAAAGAGTACGTAAAGTCCGCTGGGAAAAGCACCTTTCATCTAACTAGTACCTGCGCCATGATGCCCCGCGAGAAAGGTGGCGTCGTGGACTCCCGCTTGCGGGTCTGGGATGCAAAGGGACTGCGCATCGTGGATGCTAGTGTTATCCCGATTATTCCCAGGGGGAATACTCAGAGCGCGGTGTACGCTATTGCGGAGAGAGCAGCGGATTTGATTAAAGATGATTTGGCGGGAAAGTAGATCGGACGTTGCAAACTTGTCAGCGAACGTCCAGCGTAACATCTAGAAGACGATGCTGGTAGGGAGTAATTTGAAATAGGAATGAAGGAAAGAACAGTCATTGAATGTATGAAGTCATTATAGCCTCCTCGTTGGAGGGTTCGTTGTCTGTACTCAGAGAATTGCAGGTGTAAGGGCTCGTTTGGCGTACAATTAATATATCAGTAAAGTGCTTGGGTGGGTGAACCACCGGCGACTCCGTCCTGTTGTATATTTTTTTTTAAACGTTTGCCTTTTGAAATCCCTTCTTACGTGTTTCTTTCCTCTTTTTTGTTTCTTGAAAAAAGCGGCTGTGCTGATTTTCTTCGTCGCTGCCCTCAGCTGAAGTCGCGTAAACCTCTACTTTGTTACCTTCCGTGGACGAGCTCTGGTCACCCAAAGAATAAAAGTAAAACCAGTACATTACGGTCCTTGCTGCGCATGGACATGGACCATGATTGTGATCGGATTGCTTATCATTCTCAGGCGCCCAAGAGCTAGAACAAGTGACTGGCATGTCTCAGCGCTTCTTACTTGGAACACAGATCTAACCAAAACTACTAGCTTGGTGACCCTTGCATGTCAGTACCACATCCAAGGGGAGTACCATTCGCTAACTATATGAACGCGTGCACATTCACTTTGCGGTAGTAAACGTGCCTATTTATACTAGTAAGACATGACCCTTACACTTAGGGAATCTTGCGTCGGAGTTATATTGTATGGGAAACGTGGGATGCTTTCCCCGGGAGTGGGAATTGTACGATGTGCCCTAACCAACAGACTCGCACCGCAGTTGTCATTGTACTAGTTGTGTTATAACCTTCAAGACTCTTGTCAACAAGCCATGTATAACTTCCTTGAAGGGTAAGCTACTGTCTAGCAAACGCGACCTTCCTGGCCAACCAGCAGCCGATCACAACACTAGCGATATCACCATGGTCATCACGCTGGAATACTACAGTCCAGTTTCCGGGCGCTGGAGCATCTAAGCCTCGCGGGCATGACAGAAGCCAGATATCCTGCCCAATATATCGCATGAGGTGCGGAGGTCCTTGGCCCAAGTATCCTTCAAAGTTACCATATAGCATACCACCTTTGCCACTGCAACGAAAGGTCGACTCAACTTCTGCGCAGTAATATTCGCCGACGTAAAGGTCTTTAGGTGGTTGCTGGCCAGTAGCAGCACGCTCGGCATGGATGACATGATTGTCGGCTAAACGATGGAGTGTGAGGGTGTCACCATTTATTGTGGCAGTTGTATTACTTGATTGAGCTTTGCCCTCCTCAACACAGGCCAAGGCCTCTCCAGAACCCCCGTACGTGACGGTCAAATGGCCCTGACGGCCGTGCCCAACCTCAACAACCAGCCCGGCATCCGGGTGGTAGAAAGTGCCAAACCAGTCCGGGGAGGGGTTGACGAGGTCAAGTCGAGGATTCTTGCCCTTGGAAATGTTAAAGACACCTTGCATAATATTCTGGGCCACCGCTTCTGCATCAGCCTCATGGTTGAGCATAACTACAATTGCGAGCTTCTCTGATGGGGCCTGGATTCTATGGAGGCGGAACCCACGAAGAGCACCGCCATGGCCGATCGTAGCCACGCCCCTGACATTACCGTACGCCAGGCCATGGCCATAGCGTGCAATTGTACCATCTTTGAACGACGGCTGTTGTGCGATCGCACGATACAGACTTTGCTCGTCATCCCAAGAAGTCTGCAGATAATCTTCATACGCAGTCATGTCCTTGAGGGACGCCACAACCCCTGCATCGCCAGACCATTGCATGCGGTTGATGGCTGGAATGAAGCCAGAAGACTCGGATCCTTCATACCCAACACAAGGTGGAGGGAGATTACCGTTGTCTGGGCACAAGCGGGCCGTTGTCATACGAGCCGGCGAGAAGAGCCTTTCCGCGAGTAGGTCGTCTAGCGATTGTCCACTCACCCTCTCGATGAGTCGGGCGAGGATATGGAAGTTCAAGTTACAATAGGAGTACTGCGTACCGGGTTCGAAATGCAGAGACCTTGTTCGGTCCATGGCCTTCTTGGCGTCTTCTTCGAGTCGAAATTCACCATCAGGATGGGCACCCCAGAACATGGACATCGCCCAGTAGTCTCGAATGCCAGACTGGTTATTACATAGGTGCTCCAACTTCAGTCCGGTGTTTCCAGCCAGGTCGGGATGGAGCATTTGTAGCAGAGTGTCCGAAAACTGCCGAGAAATGTTGCCCCGCCTCAGCATATCTGGGGTGGGGTTGCGCTCCAGATCCTTCAGCATCATGCACACCATTTGTTTCGTGATCGAGCATATTGGCATCAACGTAGATGGAGTCATTGGAACCAGCTTTTGCAAATCCGCGTAGCCCCAAACGCGCTCGCCGACGAGTTTGCCATCCTTCAATACGGCAGCCGCTCCGCCCGGGCCTCGATAGACAGACGAGACGTTCTCGAGGATATCTTGAATGCTTGGATTCACTAAGATTGGATTCTCTTTAGCCAACTTTCATGCTCTCTCACAGTGGGATGGAATTCCTTACTAGCTATAAATGGGACGAGTATGCTGTATGTGCCATAGAGAAATGGTTCCATAACAGAGCCCAGCTACGGAGAAAAAGGAAGCTTAATTTGTATCAGAAAATTGGCACTAACTCGAAATGGTGCCCGAGAATAACCAGACATCCCGGTCAATATCAAAACCACCCCCGATCTAATCTACCAACTCGGTTGGTGACTGGGTGCCACCTTCACACTCTCACTTGTTAGGGCTTCTCCACTCGGTAAGCATGCGTCGAGCGACCCCGTGTAATTAAGCATGAAGAGCTAAACTAAATAAAATATTAGCAACGATTGTCTTTGGCGACAGTATCGAGTACCTCATCATGGAGGAACCCTACGGTCCGAATACCCAATAATAAATATTGAAAATATGACCGTGTCAAGATCCGCTCAGACTTTTACCTGGGGACAGGGGCAAGTTGTTCAAAGTTGTGTTGTCAAAGATATATACTGCGCCCTGTACAACAGTTATGCTAGGGAAGATTATCATCTTCTCCAAGTAGATATCTCCTCTAGTAGAGCGACCAATCAGTACGGGACAGGTAGCAAGCACAGCCGGCCGTTATTATCCATCTACAATAATTGCAGTGGAATCATGGTGGTGTTATTCGGCGTTAAGGTAGTAGCGTACTTGGCGTACATTCCGCGTCATGCAATTTCCGGAACCACAGCACTGAAAGACCACTGCCGACACTCAAACATGTACATACGGAGTACAAGGGCAAGATATGCAGCTCCAGCCAATTATGGGTGAGAATAGGTGACATCCATCCATTGCCCGAGCCACCCGTAAGCCATAGTGCATTGAACTCCAGCCCGACCCCACAAAGAAAGCTACAGATAAAAGTCAGAAAGAAGAGGTTCCTTTGCCCTAGGTGCCGAGTGTGTGTAGTATTCAATAAAATGCCGCACCTGGAGATTAATGTTGCTGCGATCCGCTATGTAATGATGAATCTGATAAAGAGACCGAATGAACCAATTTCCCCTTTTTTAGGGTTCCTCAGTGATTAAATATTTCCCTCTCCGCACATAGCTCTGGCGGAATCAGTCTCGGTGTGGTAGAATCACAATGCAGCAGGCTCTGGCTATCCTTGCTCTGTATCTATCAGCCCTGGCCGTTGGCCAAGGCATCCCTATGAATAATTTCATACCTCCTCCTCGTCCTCCTCATCCCCCACCAGTGGAACTCATAGCAACGAATTTACACAAGAACTGTAAAGACTTTGAGATTTCCTCCGCGCGCCGTGATGGATCAGTGAGGCGGCCAGGCTCACCAGGCTCACCAGACTCAACCGCATCATACTCAGGGTCAGAAGCCCGGCGTATGCGTCGCGCAGATGATGTAGATGGCGACGTTCTCATCGCAAACTGCAAGAATCCTCAAGGCATAGTGCACGAGGTCACTCTGAGCCTCAACCGATGTTTTGGCTGGGATCCCGAGAACATAGGTCTTACTGCGCAGTTGAAGTATGCATCTTGCTTTGCTACAGCAGGTGGACTGTCCGTTCTTTATGATCAATGGCTAACGGCACTTAGTGGATATGGACTTCAGAGAGGCGGATGCGTCAATTGTAGATATGCGCGAGGGCCACAGCCATCCGATCCTGGTACACTATTCTGTACCTGCAAGACAAACCCACGACTACAACAACCAAACCATAACATTAGGTTTTCGATAGGCAAGTGTCCACTGGGTGTTAAGGTATCTTGTTACTAACTGGTCTGGCAGGTGGCGTCATCCAATATAACGCTAGGTCTGGGCTTATCAGCTGCCATGGTGTGGAAGGGACCGATTTGGGACCAGTGCCTCCTCCCCCACGCGGAGATGAAGCTGTTTAGATGTATATTGTCAGATATCTCCCCAGATATGCTGCAATATCATCTGTCGTGATCCGCCGTCTTTATTCTGGAAAAGCCGGTCATTATATCACAAGGTCATTTGGGGCGACTAGATATGTATTTATCACTGTCACATATTTCACAACCTGGCGACCCTGGTATTTGGCGACAGGAGCTCTAATTCCCCTCCTGTAAGCTATTCGATGTATATTTCATCGCGTATTTCGTCTCTGAACTGTAGACATTAGGCCATCTGATATGCACAGAGCCGCCGTCTGAAGCGGGTATACGTACTAGAAACATGTGTGCAGACCCCCTAAGCTGTAAGTAGCCAGCCACATCCTAGATGTATAAACCTAGACGGCTGCCTAGTTGGCCGACCATCTTTATCGGCACATACCTGTCTGGTTGATCTTGGCTCATTCATAATTATTCATTCATACCGCAGCAGTACCCAGTGTCAAATATATATTCCTACCTAACTATTCAAGTTGGTAAATGCCGACCGCCAGTGTTAGATGCTCAATTCCCAGTAATGGGAAGGTCATAGGAGATAATAGGCCATGTGACAAAGGCTCAGACATATTTTAAAGGGGAAAATGAACTAGACGAGGTCGTTTAGCTCATATTTGGAGCGTATGATTAGGACGGGGAGACTGCTATAGCATGTCTAGAAAAGCGAAGATGGGAGGTCTGCATGATTGCTTTAGGATGATAGATATAGAAGTATACGTGCCTGCTGAATAAATTAGCAGGATTATCAAAAGTAAATACAGAATGAGCGCTTACCATCACTCTTACTGGGGTTGTGGAGTGCAAGCTATTCGAGTGGTATATATTCCTATCCAATAGCAGATAGCCATCCCTACCAGCAAAGGAGGTGCAGAAGGAAGGAATAGATTCTCCGGCATGGAAGTGAACAAATCATCCTACTTCAATACCAGCCAGATCGACTGATGATGCATCGAGGGTTATTGATTCCGATTGTATTTAGATTGTATGCAGCATTCATCTTTCTTAACCACTCACAAAGACCACGAGTAGCATACATGATATCGCTCGTGTCTAATCTACCGCCAGGTGTCTTGTAGAGCAAATTGAAGCAACGAGCAGGATTGCTGCTGCTCATAAGGATGCTATAGAGGTCTAGAATTAGACAGCATGGTATGTCTTGACATCGGCCATGGTGGTCAATACCCTTTGCAGTCTTTGAAGAGATCCTCTGGCTTTTATAAGGGTATTCGGCCACACCGCTGCACTCCGCAAAGGTTCAGCCATTTGAGCCCGAGTGCTCGGCATGCGTATCCCAAGGAGGGTGGCTTTCAATGCAAGTGACGATAGAGTTGCATGTTAGTCGTCGGTGGCGTTAAGCTGTGATGCAGGTGGATATTGCTTCGTGATCCGCCAGAATAGGATTTGTTGTAGTCCTGATATGTGTTTTCAGTTCACATACATTTTCCGCGGTCGAGGATACTGCGTATGGTTGCCTTGTCAATTGAACAATGGCGGTGAATCTCTCAAAGGCTCGTATAGTATAAAAAATCTAGATTATCGTTGATAGATGTTTGGTTGTATCGCAACACTAAGATCTATTAATTGCTGATTTTGCTGCCCAAAGAGGAGGCTTAATGCCCCAGCCTAATGACATTCTGCCTCAGCATAGAGCCCGTGAAATGGGTTTACGGTCTTGCTTAGCAGATTGGCTCAAGACCGAATATGCCAGGTCGTTTCAAGCTATCCAGCATATGCCGGCATGGTCTAAGGGCCTGGCTATTTTGACGGCACTGTGGGCTAACCTGTTCCAGGGACAACAAAAAAGATAATTCACCGAGACGGGCACGGGACATGAATAAGACGCTAGGAATAGAAAATCACAAAAGATGCAATCTGAAATTAGCTGCATAACGATCTACCTGCTCTCAGGGGTCACGGAAATGACATCGTCCAGGTAAAGGGTATAAGTCGGTAATCCTAAAGTTGGTCCCGTCCTGTTAGCTACTCCAGAAAAGCCAGCCTCCTAAATGACTGACCACCACCTGCACACTCTTTACAGGTGGTGCTGAATCCAGTCAAGGATCTCGGGTAGAGTGGGATCCTCTACAGTCCAATATCCTGCCCGCATGTCTGCATCCCGCAGATCATCCACAGCGTACTGGTCCGTCAAGCGCGCCATTTCCTATTGTGTCCCCAGTCAATCAAGTGTTTGCGGATAAAGAAGCACATGGCATAATTCACCTGTCGGAATGAGTTGCCAAGGGAGTTTAGTGGAGCAGTATGCTGGATCCCTGCCGGTCCTCCCGGTACGATATCCTGTCTGGCGATGGCCCATCTTTTGGCGACTGCTACTCGGAGATAGATGCGGTGCGCTTGGAATCGCCGCGCGCTTGCGTCGAGGATAGTTCTAAAGACAGTCAGGACATCCCTAGCCAATTTGTATAGGGCCTAGTCCCCGTACCTCTGCAGTTCGGCCTTCTCCGTCTCCGTGTTGGACTGGGTAGGTGCCACGATGGGGTTATAGTTGGCTGATACCAGTGCCTGGGCTGCAGCCAGGCCTGCTCTAAGCTCTTTGTACGCCTCCTCGTGGTAATCGTCCGCTGGGGTTTGTACAGTATGCCTAGCGATGTGCATAAGGAGGGTTCGGTAGTCGTTGATAAGCTCGGCTACCCGCAAGGCACGTGCTCCGTTGACTTGTTGAAGTGTCACTGCTCCTGACCACCAGAAAATTCGAAAACAGTGACAGAAAATGTTACTCACGCCTATCGACCATGGTTTTATCAGCTAGCCACTGGATTGTGACGGGTGCACAATCGTGGCCAAGAACGAGAGAGGGACTGTATCAGTTGTGAACGGTCAGAGGAATAGGGCAACGACCAGGTCAATCCGCCGGCAAGGAACACAGTACGTCTCTTTGGGGAACCGAGCGTCTATTTTGTCTATTGCGCTCCCATCTTCGAGGGTCTGCTATTCTTTTAGGTTCGGCCTAGGGTATTTATGACAAGCGTTAGCGACGGGCCCGAGCAAAGTGAAATGGCTCCAAGATTATCATCATTTGCGGTCATGCTTAACTGAACCTACCGATGCCGATCCAAAAATGTCAGGGGCCACAGGTGGGAACTTAAGTAGTGACCAACATGCTGGGCTGGTGACAGGCCACAAACCTCAGAGACACCTGTCTACAAGGACTTGCAGTATGTGCACTCGAGTCAAGGGCGGAATATTAGCCAAGCGGGGGGGCCTCAGCAGTCGAGCAATAGTGGGATCGATGCTGATAGGCCTAGTTATGTGTAAGGCCGTTACAGATACGCAATGTGGCCCACGTAAATTGACGAGATCAGAGGGGAGCAATCGCGCAGAGGCTTTGGTGCATAAGGACACGAAACCTAAACCGAAGATAAAGTCCAAGACCAGTCAAACTCAACGCTGTTGATCGTAGATGCAAAGGTGATGCATCCCAGCACACCATCCCAACGGTAATCTAAAATCAACAAGGGGAATTTTGGTTTTGTGACCTCGGAACCTAGTTCCAAGCCCAGTGGGGCAAGAGTCAGAAGAATTCTCTCGCGGCACTTGAAAATGAACGCGAGGGTACGGCCTCCCCGAACAGAAGGGAGATCATCCGCCCTCGCTTAACCCCGCCTCCTCGATGTCCATAGTGGGATCATCTAGTAAGTTTCATGGAAAGCGAAGACCGCTGGAAAACTTGCTGTGCAGCCATCATTGGACTGTGAACTTGTGATGGACAGAAAGAGCACCATAACAGGAACGGAGGGAAGGTGAAGATGAATACCATAGCTTCAGCCCAGCCACTGGGTGGGCAAGGGGCAAGGATGGATATATACGTGGGTTGCTCTTCCTTTCATTCCTGCTATGGAAACGGGTCACCAGGTGGATCCTGATAAAATTTGGCTTCGGCTACGTAAATACATCTATTGCTAGATGTTCTATAAACACAGAGCTGATCCATCTGCTCTACGACCTTAAGGTTGTGTTTCCCGGTAGTCGAATAATGCCTGTTCTCTATCTTTCAGTTTATCCTATGGCATGGCATTCAAAGTTATATCAGTATATACAAGCGGTGATATCTTCCGGTCCACAAATGACAAAAAGTTGAAACCCAGCTTGCCCCAACATCGCAATCCGGATGTCCTAGAGTCACATTCCTGACAATAGGTACCAATTGCAAGGGAATCGTTTATGCTGGTGAACTAGAACACCTCCAGTACAACGGGTAATGTTTAAACTTAATATTCCGTTCGAAGTGGGGGTGATCAATCCTTCTCTCTGTCGGGCGACGCGCTGCTTTACGCGAAGAAGGGGAAAGCGCGCTTAGCCTGACAGGGCGCATGTCTTACAACAACCCTCTTCGGATTATTGTGAGTCGGGACCAAACGTTTCTAGTTCTGCGAGTCTGCGCTCCAAGTATGCGCATTCTTCTGCTATCCTCTTGACCGAATCTGACTGCAACATATATGCATTGCGACCTTCGTCCGTAAACTTGCATTCAGCAGGTGTGCCCCTTAGACAGCACGGTGTACAGGGCATGAGATGATCGCACTGCAGCAGTATGCTTGTTAGCCCTCCCCCTGTATTGTGCAGAATCTTGATACCCAACTAAAAGAGCAGGGCGCGTAGATAGGTATGCACAACAACTCGCCTTCACTCTACGCCTATAGCACGGAAGGCAGGAGAGGATCGGTCGTCTCTTCTTTGTTTCAAGGCTCTCAGAAGAGAGAAATTCTGGGTTTGAACCCATGCAGACGGCCACGGGAGAGAGATTCTGCTCAGATATACCGCCACAATAGCATTAACGAACAAGAAGATGATATCACCGTTAATATAATTAACTAGGCCAATGGTTCTTCAATCACCGCGTGAGCCACATTTAAGAGAAGTTTCTGAGTGCACCCCCTACGTGTAACCCCGGACATCACATAGACATGTAATTTCAATAGGCTTCTATAGCCCCTTCGCGGTGGCGATTTCCGGGTATGCAGCATGGG